CCTCATCCACCGCCCCCGCCGTCTCATCCCCATCATCCCCACCCCTATTCCCCCCTTTACCCTTACCCACACCCATACCCCCTGCCCCAGCCCCCACAGCACCACCACTGGTCTTATGCGTCGATGTGTTAGTCCGTCTAGTAACAACCCCCCCACCAATCCCCCCCGGCGTCTCCCTCAACCCAAAAGATTTCGCCAAGTGTCCGAGATGTAACTGAGTAATATCAAAGTAGACGCGTTCGTCTCGGACGTGGGTGGCGTAGGCGCGGATGTGGGAGCGGAAGGCTTGGCGCGCTGTGAGGAGGAGGGGGTTTGTTTCTGCGGGGGGTTTGGATGGTTTGGAGGGTTTGGAGGGTTTCCATTTGGGTTTGTTGGCGGGGGCGGGAGTGGAAGTGGAAGTGGGAGTCGGAGGGGTGAGGAGGCGTTGTTCGAGGTGGAGTTGGAGGGATTCGGCGCGGGAGGTCCAGGTTTGTTTTTTTTCATCGGGGGGGTTGGGGTCGGTTGGGGAGGTAGGGTTGGGAGTGGTGGAAGGGAGGTTGATGTCGGAGAGGAAGCCCTTTTGGAGGGTGGATTCGTAGAGCTGTGGGAGGACGGGGGTTGAGGCTGGGAGGATCTTGGTGTACCCTTCTTCGCAGCCCGGTAGGAGGAACAAGATGGCTTTACCCGGCCGGCCAGCGCGCGCGGTACGGCCGATGCGGTGCACGTGGTCGGGCACGGCAAAGGCCGGGTCGTATTCAATAACCAAATCGACGGCGGGCACGTCGAGGCCGCGCGAGGAGATGTCGGTGGTGATGAGCACGGCCGGGTCTTTGCAGGTGGTGTAGGCGTGGAGCGTGGCGGAGCGGACGGGTTGGGCGAGTGAGCCGTGGAGTTTGTGGAGGATGACTTTGGGGTTGGCCGGGGAGGTGATGTATGCTGCTGGGGATACGGTGGTGTCGGTGTGGGGGTTGCGGTCGGGTTTGGGGGGTGTCGAGTCGGAGGTTGAGTCGGAAGTTGGTGTGGGTGTGGGTGTGGGTGGCTCGGGACGGTTTGTGTCTTTGAGCAGTTCGTAGTGAAAGTCGACCGAGTCGGCGCAGGATATAAAGACAATCGCCTTCATGACGGATCCCTTCCTCGCAAACGTCGACTTGAGCAGCGCAATCAGCGTCACGAGACGCAGCTTGGCCGGCGCAACAATACACGACTGCTTCAGCTGCGACGGCGCGGCAAACGCGGCCTCGTTCCCGGCCTCAGCAGCCTTGTCCTGCTCCGACCGGTGGGCCACAATGTGGATGGCATCCTGCAGACTGATCTCGCCCAGCTTCTGCACGTTCATCTTCATCGTAGCCGAGCAGAGCACGGTGACGCGCCGTGACGGAAGCACACCATCCAGCACCACCCCTTCCGCGTTCTCCTTCTCCAGCTTGTCCGCCCGGATCTTGCCCACGATCGTCTTGATGTCGTCCTCGAAGCCCATCTCCATCATACGGTCGCCTTCGTCCAGAACCAGCCACCGCACGGTGCCCACATTTAACACCTTGGTGTTGTCGAGATGGTCCGCCAACCGACCGGGCGTCGCAATCAGGATGTTGACGCCCTTCCGTATCCTCGCCTTTTCCGACTTCTTGCTCTCTCCACCAATAACTGTGGTACACACCAGCCACGGCGCGCACCGCAGTACTTTCTCCAATACAACGGCAATCTGCTTGCACAGCTCGCGCGTCGGTGCCAGGATGATGGCGAACAAGCCCGAGTTCCGATGTACCTTGGTGTCCTTCTTGGGCGTCCCGTCCTCGTTCAAACTCAACGCCATGATCCGGTGAACGATAGGCAACAAATACGCCAGCGTCTTGCCCGAACCGGTCTCAGCCTGCAAAAACGCATCGCTGTCCCCCCGGATCAACTGCGGCACAGTGCTCTTCTGGATCGCCGTCGGCGCTTTCATCTCGAGCTTGGTCGCCAGGTGCTGGGCGACCCGTCGGGAGATACCCAGGGAGTGGAAGTTTTCAGCCTCCTCCGACAGCGGCGCATTGGACGGTTTCGCCGGCTCGGTCTCTTCTACCGGTTGTGGTTGCTGCTCAAAATCGGTCACGGCGTTGGGATTCGACGTGAACAGTCCGGACGAGGCATAGCCCGACCTCATCGCGTGGGCAGACGCCTTGGGGCCGATCTCTGCGCCGCGCGGGATCTTGGCGAAACGGTGCGGTTCGCCGTCATTGTCGTCAGTCCTCGGCCTTTTGGAGGGGCGGCGGTCGTCGTAGTCGCCGCCAGTGGCATGTCGGCGTCTTGGGGGGGTGGATGTTGACGAGGGGTTGTTGTTGTCGTCGTGGACTTGTTTGGCGTCGCGTTGCGCCTTGACCCGGTCACGCCAGCGCCCGCCTTTGAATTTGACTTGGCTTTTTAGCGGCGCGTCGCTGATCTCGAAGTTGAGGAGCATGCCATCGTCGGCCATGGCTGCTGTCGATTGGCTCGCGTTTGCGTGGTGGTGGTGAGGTTGAACTCAACTTTTGAGCGGCAGAAAAAAGTTGGGACAGGGAATGGGCCAGTGGAGACGGCCCTGACCGCCTGCCAAGTTAGGTTTGAGGACCCCGCAAGCCGCTGATCTGGAGTGGGCCGTTAGCGGGTCTGGTTTCGGACGCCGGGCCTCTGCCATCACCGACCTCTGCACTCTTTCATCCAACACTGTCGACACTACAGGCCAGTCATCAATTGTAATAAACAAAATACACAGCTATAAAATGTTGGCGGATTCAACCCTCACATATCATGACGATGGTGTGATTGATACCTTCCTTGTATCCTGCAATCGTTTCCAGACCAAATCCTGCGATGAATGCACCTCCGAATAAAGCACTACAAACTCGCTACCACTATTATATAGTTAGTGTAGTCCGAAATCAAGACCACAATCATGAGATTTAGGCTCGGCATCGGAGCTTATGGACCCCGCGAGGTTGCGTATCTCGGGTGAGACGGCTTCCTTCCTGCGGGAACTCCTGCAAATCCAAGCTTCGGGACCGAGACCAAACAAACGAATACATAGGAACCTTAGGAGCTCCCAAGCAACTGCGGCAAGTGGCACAGGCATTCTCCATCCCGCAGCACTTGGACTTCCCCCAGCCCAACTCCGGTTGCCATATCAGTGACCCCTAATTGTGCGACGCCTTCCACTGCAACTTTCGGTACTCCGGAAAGGTCTCAACTCGCCCGGGCCTGCGTGCGACCGACACAAGATAAAAGTCACATTTTCCAGCCTCAACCCGTTTTTTCTTCCACTTAAAACCTCCACCATGCCTCCCGGCCCTTCATTCCCCCCCATCCTGCGCGCAACCCACCGAGCCAGCGTCATGAGCACCCAAATCGCCGTGGCCGCCGCCGTCGCCGGCATTGGCGTGTATGCGTGGTATCTGCGGGGGAATAACAACAGTAGCAGCGGAAACGCAAGCAAACCCGTGTTTAGCAGCTTCGGCTTCCACACTTTGCGGCTCGACAGCACCGAGCTGGTCAACCACAACACCAAGAAACTGCGCTTTGCCCTGCCTGATCCCAAGCAGCCAAGTGGGCTCGGCCTCACGTCTGCGCTGCTGACTTTTTCCCGTCCGGCTGGGCGTTGGTTGCCTGTGATCCGGCCTTATACCCCGGTTGATGATCTCAGTATGTCTCTCTTCCCCCAAACAACAACCAAATAAAATATTCCTCTAATATCAATATAGACGAACCCGGCTACATAACCCTCCTAGTAAAACACTACCCCTCGGGCGCCCAATCCACCCACCTGCACTCCCTCCAACCCGGCGACACCCTCACCTTCGCACCCCTCAAAACCTTCACCTGGACCCCCAACCAACACGCCCACGTCGCGCTCATCGCCGGCGGCGCGGGCATCACACCCATGTACCAGCTCGCCCGCGGCATCCTGACCAACCCGGCCGACCGCACGCGGATTACGCTGGTCTGGGGGGTGAATACGGAGGAGGATGTGTTTTTGAGGGGGGAGTTGGATGGGTTGGAGCGGGAGTTTGGGGGGAGGGTTAGGGTTGTTTATGTTGTTGCGAAGCCTGGTTCTGGGGCTGGCGGCTCTGAGGTTGGGGGTGGGAGTGGGAAGAGGGATAGGAAGGGGTTTGTGACGAGGGAGGTGTTGGAGGGGGTGGGATTGGGGGCGAAAGAGGAAGAGGATGTCAAGGTGTTGGTGTGTGGGCCGCCGGCGATGGAGAAGGCGTTGAAGGGGAAGGGCACGGGGGTGTTGGCGCAGTTGGGGTATCGACCGGATCAGGTGCATAGTTTTTAGGTGAAAGCATGGGGTGTGTTGTGATAGGGGTTGAGACAAGAATCGCCTCTTCTTTTTAAAGAACAAAAGGAAATGGCCAGTCGTTATTTTATTTCTTCTTTTTCAGGGTGAATGAACTTCGTTTTATACGATGTCACCGTTTGGCTGTAGGATTTTCGGGATTATAAGCCCTTTGAGCGAGTCGATGGATGAGACAAGATGGTCTGGCTTCATTCAAGCCTCTATCCCTACGGCCTTGAGCTTGATTTCTCGAGACTTGACCTCTATTAGAAGTTGAAAATGGGATGATTGAACAAATAGGAACGAATGGGTCTAGAGTGAAAAGAGGGAGATAAAAACGATACCAAAATAAGCAAGGGGTTGGTTACCGTGGAGATTTAACAATTCGTATTAACTGACAAAGCATATGACTTAAAATTTGGCCTCAACTACAACCCACAGATCCCTAACGTTCATTATCCAAATTTTCCTTCATGAGTTATGATTATAACACGGCAATCCCTCTGTCTCTTCATAAAATCCGGGCCCATTTCTATGCTTTACAGCGAGCCAAGGACAGAAGGAGTCAAATGCATGTCTCTGTCTCTAAGTGTCAATCTGAGTCAAATAACAAAAAACATAGAATCCACCACTGTCTTAGCGCCATTCTACAAGCATTGTTCTTACAGCACCGGCCCGATGACCCGATGCATAGAACATTGGTATTCTTCCTGTTGGTCAGGACAAACCATATTACAAAAGAAATATTTGACTTTGTTTATGTGCCGTCTAGGTGCCATTTATCAGAGTTCATCCGGTAGCACGTTCTTACAGAATAAGAACTTGATCTCTCGACCTCTCTCCTCATCCACGCCCTACTTCATTACCCGCTCTCTTACCCCCTACCAGCTCGAAACACCACACCGACGCATGATACCACAGCACCCCCAAAATGCCCCTCTCTACTCTCCTCAGAACCTCCACCACCACCACAGGCCTCCTGCCCCCCTTCCTCAACCTCAACCTCCTCCTCAGCCTCACCCTCTCCGCCCTCCTCTACACAGCCCACGCCCACGGTTACCTCCACATCCCCTACCTCCTCCCCCGCAAACCCGCCCCCCTTGACAACGAAAACAAAATCCCAACCCCCCGCTCAATCCACTACCACTTCACCCGCACTTGCACGCGCACCTGTCCCGTCTGCCTGCACCACTTCCACACCGCAGCCCCAGCATCTTCTTCTTCTTCTTCTTCTTCCGATATCAAGACGACGCATACGCACACGTACACGCACATCGAACCCCTGGAGAATCATAAAACAGCCCTGCGTCTGCTGGCAGAGGCTGGGATGCGGAGTATTACTTTTGCAGGGGGGGAGCCGTTGTTGTATGCTGTGTTGCTGGGGCAGATGGTGGGGTTTTGTAAAAGGGAGTTGGGAGTGGAGTGTGTGGTTGTTGTTGTTAGTCGGGCCGGATTGGTGCCGGAATCATTTCTGCGGGAGCAAGGAGGGAAAGGGAAAGGGGGGTTGGATGTGCTTGCTGTTGGGTTTGATGGGGGTAGCGGGTATGGTCATACACAGGATTGGGACTGGAATCGGGGGTACAGGCATGGGAGTAGGAGGGAACGGATGCTGGCGTTGGAGAGGGTGGCCGGGTGGTGTCGGGCGTATGGGGTAAAGTTACAGGTTAATACAGTGGTGGATGGGAGACGGGTTGGGGAGGATATGAATGGGTGGGTGGATAGAGTCAGGCCGTGGAGGTGGGTGTGTTTTCAGTATTTGGAGGTGAGGGAGGATGGCGAGGATGGAGATGGAGATGGGGAAGAGACAAGGAAAGGGGACAAAAAAGACACGGTCCGGTCCGGCTTTGAACCCGTCTCGGAAGAGCAGTTTGACGAGTTTTGCGAGCGGCATAAGCGGCAGATGTGTTTGGTGGCTAAACCAGGGCGCTCGGCGGGTGATGGCCATCTGGTGGTGGATGAGTATTTGCGGTTTTTGGATCCCACGGGGAAGAAGGCGTCCAGGTCGATCTTGGAGGTGGGCGTGGAGAGAGCGCTGGGGAGTTTATGCTGGAAGGGTGTGTCGTGGGATGTTGGGTTAGAGGAGGAGGGATAAGATAGCTATTGATCAAGGGTGTGAAATAATACTGGGAAGTGGGTTGTTGCCTGCTTTTTGCTGATGCGACTAGGCATGGAAGTATTTCGGCGTATTTGTATGTTCATTTTCCTCCAAATAATTTTATTCCAAAATGATGGATATCAACTGCCAAGTCCAGGATTAGATTTCTCTGCATAGTATTGCTCGGCAGTAACTTGTAAAAACTTCGTCCTGTGAAAAGAGCTTCTCCCTGGGAAGAAGAAACCCGGATGTGAACCCCGCTGTGAGGTTGGCTTCCACCAATGACGTTGCATGAGATTTCCTAATCCGGAAACTGGCCCTGCTTCAAAGCGCTGAGGGAGATGTGGTCCTGCATTCTGCGTTCACGGACATCATGCAGCAAAATAACTCTGGACACACCTGAGAACTGACTTTATTCTCACAATTCACCACCTCCCTTTGGGCCTTGAGGAGTGAGCCCCATCACAAAACAGCACCGATGGTATCCAGCCCGTCCGCCATAGACCCACAAACCGGTCCCGGAATCACGCACTAAGTTCAGGACGAATAGCTCAGGGGTAGAGCAACCGGCTGCAGTCCGGTAGGTCACGCGTTCAAATCGCGTTTCGTCCTCTGCTTTAATTTTTCCTCCAAAATAATTGTGGACCCATTTTTACCCGACGCTGCACGTGCTCCACTTCTGTCCCTGTCCAACCCAAACCCGAAAACCCCATCTGCATTTTGGCACTTTCATCAACTCCTTTCTCAAAATCCCCGATTCGACTTCGTCTTACGGTCCCACCCGACAATTTGTCCTCTCTCTCGGTTGCTTTCTCAGCAAGGCAAGGCTTCCTGATTCAGGCTCGAGATCAGCGTTCGCAAAAACCGACTGCGGTCAAGCCCGTCATCCGCCCCCAGCCGCGCTTGGCGCTTGGCCGCGCAGGTCGGCCTGGCTGGGTTCAAGCTCGGCTGGCTGTGTGATGTGGTCCCCATTGCAGTGCATGCTGACCACTCAGAGGTGCAGCTGGTTAAGGCAGTTGGTCCCAACTTCCCAGCAGCTGGGGCTTGTCTGTATGCAGCCATCCCGCGATGATCGCTTTTTGAGTTGTTGGCGGAGTTTTGAGCTCCTCAATTTTCTTCAGTTTCTCTGTCGTTTTCTTCAAGATGGCTTTTTCTTTCAAAAGCTTCTTTTTTTTCCTCAGCCATCTTGTCTCGGCCAGCCGCTTGCTAGGCTGTTGCTGCCCGTTACGTTTGCCTGGCTGGGTGGCTTGGATGGAACGTCCACTCTTGCGTTGCTCACTACTGCATCAGGCTCTAGCTTGCTGATGCCCACGCGCACCGCTGATGCGATCGTCATGTTTTCTTTGCTAGGGTCATTCTATTCTTAATTTTCTCTCTTTCCCCACTTCCCACATCCCGTTCCGCCCCCCCATTCCACAAACCTCTCCGACCCTCCATCAGCAAAGTTACGAAGTACCACAGGTCAGCATCAGATCAGATCAGATCAGATCAGGCTCGGGAGCTCTGGGCGCTCGCGTGGTTCAACACCACAGGCCCAAGGCCCAGGTTGGTCGGTCGGTGGCTTGTTCCCCGTTTCCCGTAACTCTGGCACCAAGTGAGTGCCATCTTCACTATCTTAGCTCTGCCAAGCGCCGGGTGAGACGTTGATGTGGCTGTGGATTGGGAGTCTGTGTTGGAGTTGCGCGGTTGTGCCGGTGTATTCTCGTTGGGCCGTCGGGTCGTTTAAGTGTGGGCGATGTCTTTCTGGCGCCTATCTGCTTGCGTTGTCCGTGCCTTTTCCTTGCTTGTCGACCTACATCCAGTACGAGAGAGTGGGTTGGGGGCTAGTGCTTGTCCTTGATAATGTAACGAAGCGGTCGGGAGTTTCGTGGCCAGCCTGACCAGGGTTTGGGTTTTTTTCTCTCTCTCAGCAACAACGAAAGTAACCTTCCCGTCCTTCCCTTTCCTCCCGCGGTGTAACCCAACACCATTCCTCGGGGTCACAGAAGCCGGGGTTCGGAATTTACCTATCTATCTCTCTGATCACAGTGATCAGGCTGGGCCCTTCTTTTCCCTTTTGCTTCCCACATGACGTGCATGCCGACCCCTCCCAGACCGGGGCCGGTGTTTTAGAGGGTTACTCCTGCATTTCGTCTGTTTATCATCTCATTTTCCGTGACAGCCTGATCGAAGACCGGTCTGGTCATAACCCGGTCGACTCCCCACCTCGGTTCTGGCAGTTTTCAGAAAGCAAACAATTCACACGAGGAACCCCGCCTATGCATCGCCCATAGCTGTAGCTAGCCAGTGCGCCGGGTCACCGCCATGGAGCACCCAGCGTCGGGGCGGGCCAACCCGGAGTATACGACCCCGGGGTTTGGCCATGTGAGAAACGACAGCAGTTCCAGCAATGACAGCAACGAAAGCAATGGCGACAACAACAATCACAACAGCGGCCGACAAAACTACGGCCACACAAGGACCACCTCAACGGACCTCCTCGCACCCACACCCGACATCGAATTCCCAGCATCACCACCTGCACCACGACGCCCGCAAGTCTCGTACGCACCCACCAGCCCTCCGCCCCGCGAAACACAGACAATATCCCCTCCAACCAGCTTCGGGTTAGGCATTGGTCCCACCGCCCAGCATAGCCAACATCTCCACACAACGCAATACTATGGTAATGGTTACTACAACATCTCGCGGGACACGCTCCAGCAGGACGGAGAAGACGACGACAGCCCGCCAACAAGCCCCCCGCCGGCGAATTATGCGTCCAAATCCGGCGCTACGGCACACGCCTACCCGCTCGATACCATGCGCAGTGGTGATGGTGCGGGGGGGTACTATTACCATCCTTCTCACGGCGGCGGTGATGGTAACGGCAAAAACCCGTTCGACGACCCCAGTCCTAGCCCCGGCGGTCCACCACATCCAAAGCGATCCTTCCCCCTCTGGCGACTCGCCGTCGGCGGCTGGCGTATGTACGGGCTTTTTCTGTTTGGTTTCGCCTGCGCCGTGGGCCATCACGCGTTTTACTCCAGTCTGGACGGGAAACCGGCGGATGACCAGATCAAGATGATGCGGTTTGGCGGGTTGCTGTCGTATGCGGCGAAGGCGGGGTTGTTGGCGGCGGTGATCTTTGCGTATCAGCAGCAGGTGTGGGTGACGGCGATTCATAATACGATGCGGTTGAGGGCGGTGGATAGTTTGTTTGCGGCTTCGAATGAGCCGCATGCGTTGTTGAATTGGGAGTTTGTGCGGAAGGCGAGGGTGGCTACTGCGCTGGCTGTTGCGGCGTGGTATGTTTCTTTACTCTACTCTACTCTACTCTCTCCTCTGTCTCGCCTCTGGATGTTTATGTTTGTTCGAATGGCTGTTGTTGACTGACTGTGTATAGGCTCTTCCCTCTAACAGTGATCCTAACCCCCGCCACGCTGAGCGTCGCCCCTATGACCACTGTCGAGCACACAACCTGTCCCGGCGTCCGCACGCTCAACTTTGAGCACGAAACGACCAAGAACTGGCGGATCCTCAACCGCATTAACGGCTTCCGCGACATCTCCATGTCGCTCTGGAACTGCACCATGTGGGACAGCTCCGACATGATCGACAGGAATTTCAGTTCCGACTTCTTCGACTACTGGACCGGCGGCAGCGCCCAGCTGGATTTAGTTACCGCCCAGAGCGGGCTCACCGGCGCCGTCATCCCCCGCTGGGGCGCCTCACTCGAGACCTGTGGCGGAGGCTGGAACTGCAGCTACGTGATCAACTTCGTGGCTCCCGGTTACAAATGCACCGAGCTCGCCCGCGGCCAGACCCTCGACAAGCCGGCTCTCGACAAACAGGGCGTGGCCTTCGATGTCAGCGCCCTCGTGCCCGAGGGCGACTGGGGTTACGCCGCGATTACCCACATGGGCGACTACTACCCCGAACAAGTCGCCGTCGGCGGAGGCGGCCGCCCGGAAAAGGACCCCCCTTACCCGCCCCATCTCGGCGTCTTCCGCACCGAACCCGTGCTCTGGATCGGCCACACCGAATACAAAGGCCCCGCAAACAAATCCCCTCCCATGTCACGCACCGACCCGCACTGGAACACCTACTTCGAAGCCGTGGTCACCCGCTGCGAGCACTACGTCGTCAACTACACGGTCCAATTCAACCACACGGCAACCCAACAAACCACCACCGTCCTCTCGCGCACCTACCTCCACCCGGTCATCGACACCACCTACGACCCCAACCGCAACGCCGACGACGGCACCTTCGACAACACCACCGCCGTCCCCGAATCCAACTACATCTACCCGCTCGACGTCGCCCGCTACCGCCTGACCGCCGCCTACCACGGTCTCGGCGAACGCATGCGTGCCTTCCTCGACGGCCGCATCCGCTACACCCCCTACGCCACCGTCGACTCCGACATCACCAAGACCGTCCTCATGGACACCGAGACCTACCTCCCGGTTCCCAACCTCATTTCTTCCATCCAGACCTTCTACGAAAACATGACCCTCTCCCTGCTCTCCAACCCGCAATTCGTCGTCGTCGCCTGGGCCGCCGACCCCTCCCGTCGCAGCGGCTTAACCGTCCGCCCCGCTGGCACCGACCACCTCCGTCTGCTCAACCACACCGACAGCGACCCGCGGGACCCCTCCATCGCCTACCCGTGCACGCGCACCCGCATCGCCAACGCCTACGTCTTCAACCGGCGGGATCTATGGATCGCATACGCCGCTGCCTCGGGGGCCGCGCTAGCGGCCGTCATCCTGGGGTCGGCGGCGCTGAGTCAGAATGGGTTTCGCGAGCGGGATACGAGGTTATCGAGTGTGGTTGCAGCGACGAGGGCGCCGTGTTTGGGGGCGTTGCCGTGGGAGGGACATAGTCATCATTATGGGAATGGTGGGAATGGGCATAGAGGTGGGGATGGGAATGGGAATTTGAGACAGCATGCTGGGGAGGGGGCCGCGGAGGAGGTTATGGAGGTGGAGTTTGGGTATGGGGTTATTTTGGATCATGATCCTTATCACACCTACCCCCACGGCCAACACTACCCCCATGGACCTATACCTTTCCCCCCTGCTGGGAACCTCGCTGGGAACCTCGCTGGGAACCCCGCCGACGACACCCACAATCATAACAACAACCCGAAACCAGAAAATACCCCCCTCACAACCGCAATCCCCCTCAACGGCCCCCACACAAGCGCCGTAACCAACCCCCTAAACCTAGGCATGTGGATGGGCGGGGTGGGCAGTGCACAGGGGGTGATGGCCGCGGCAGCCGCGGGGGGGAGTAGTAGGGTGTATTATGGGTTTGCGCCGAGGGAGGTGTTGGAACGGTCGAGGGTTGCTGTTTTTGGGACTGGTTCTGGGGCGGATACTAGGCATGGGGGGAAAGGGGGAGTCGAAGGTGGGGGGGATGAGGGGGTGAGGAAGAGGAAGAGGATGAGCGCGTGGAGTTTTCGGAATTGGGAGGAGAGGTGGCGGGAGGGGGGATAGTGCGTTACGGAAGTTATCTGAGAGAGAGAGAGAGAGAGATACAGGGGTATAATAGCGATTAATGGGTTTGGGGAACGTAATCTATCCGGGAGTAACGTAGCATTGAGGATACGGAGATTGGGCGGTGGATTTATTATAAAGTTAATTCCATTTCTATAATCACTTCTATAACTGCAGTGCACTCGATTGCGTTCTCTCATCTTGTTCCTATTCTGTTGATGTGTTTCCACATTGAGTTTGTTCCGCCTTGGACAACTGTCGGGTATGTAACGTACGGTGTAAATTTCACCATGCCAGCGCAGCCAGGAGGGCCTCCAAACAGAGCGTCAGCCGTTTACGGATACAGAAACTGTTGCAATAAAAGATTAAGATTAATTTCGCCTCGATCCCTTTCTATTTACAACTTATCCCAGACTTGAACCCGTTTCAATCACTGAGAAGCATCTAGCAGGGGTTGGGCTATTCTTCACGTTTATCACCGTGTCATGCCGGTAATTACGCACGACACGACCCCCAGTAACGGACCACCCTGATTGGCTCACCTCACGAACTCACCACAATTCAGGCAGGAGGAGCTCACACCCCCACTCTCACTTTTCATCATCACCCATCTCACTCATCCTCGTTCATCTCCACCATCACTTTCCAATGCCTCTTTAACCCCTTATACACGAAACCCACGAAGAATTAAACCCAGTTCATGACGCGCCCCTAGCATCACAATGCCCCGCCAACTCCCATGGAAAGTCGAGCCTCGCGCGACGACGGGACTAGGGCCTAAGAAAACACCGTCTCGGTCTCAGAGTGTGGCGAGTCCGGCACCGTTGTCTCGCTGGTCGACGCCTAGGGTGAAAAGCGAGACGGAGTTGGGGAGGAAGGCGAGGTTGGGAAGGGGGAAGTTGGGTGTGTTTCTTTTTTTTTTTTCTGGTTTCTGGTTTCGGCCGGGGTTTGTTGTGATGGGTAGTTAACGTGATGTACCAAATAGGCCGCTCACCATCGACTTCACCGGCCCCCGAACCACTAGAAGAAGAGTACGTTCCCTCCTTCCCCCTCTCCCTACCATACCCACATCCCATCCTGGCCCCAAAAAATGAACTAACAAAAAACAGACTCATGCACCCTGGCCTATCCCACGACGACCGCTACCGCATGGTCGAAGACGAATTCCTCTTCATCGCCGGCATCTTCACCCGCCACCTGCACGCCGCCGAGTACCAGCGTCTCAAAACCCTCGCCGCGGCCTGCTCTCAACAACAACAACAACAACAAGCCGACCCCAACACCCTCCCCCTCGACCCGGGAACCGGCATCCCACGCCCCATCACGGGGGAGATGACGGAGCTAGTAAAAAGGCGGAATGCGGCGTTGGATACGGCTGCTAGAGCTAGACAGCAAGAGGGGATTGCGAGGAGTTTGAGGAATCATGGTCGTAGTAACGATGGGGAGGAGAGGGCTGGGTTGACGCGGGGGGAGTCGTCGTTGCAGGGGCTGATGGAGAGTCCGAGGAGGCAGAAAGTGCCGTTGACGGCTTTGGTGGGGGGGTCAAGGCCGGGGTCATCACGGGCAGGGTCACGGCCTGGGACGGGGTCGGGGTATCGTGGGACAGTAAACGAAAGTCCGCCGAGGAGGCGGCCGGGGAGTGGGTATGCTGGGCGGGGGGTGAAGAGGGAGGTGGAAAGGGAGAGGGAGAGGGAGCGTGTGACGGAGTCTGAGGAGGATGAGGATGATGGTGATCTTGATGGTCAGCCGGTGTGGCCGAGGAAGCCGGATTCGAGACAGGCGCCGATACGCCGCACGACTGATCCGGCTACGGCGAAACGGCGGGAGGAGGAACGGGAAAATCCGTTAAAGAGAGTTAAGACGGCTCCGCTTCCTACTTTGGCTCGGGAATCGCCTGTCAAGACACAGGCGGCCGTTCGCAAGGGCGGAGATCATGAAAACGAGGATCATAAAGACGAGGACGAAGACAAAGACGAGGACTTTTTTACGAGATTGCGAGCGCGACGGGCCGAGCAGAAACGACGGCGCGAGGTTAAAGCAACGATGGACAAAGACAACATCAAAACCGAAAACGCCCAGGCCGCATCCCTCAACTCGATCCCGTTCATGTGATGGTCAAACAAAATAAATTGGTATTGGTATTCGACATCTCAACTCCTCCCACACACCCAGATCAGTCCTCATCAACTCTCAAACTATGCCGAGAAAGGCGTCTCAGCCGGCCTCTCGGCCTGCGGCGTGATACGCGCCAAATGGCGGCGCTGGCCATCAGACCAGTCGAGGATGGCCGAGTGCTGCGTGACACGGTTGTCCCAGACGACGACGGTGCGCTCCTCCCATTTGACACGCGCCTGGAAGTCGGCACCGTACGCCAGGTGGTCGTACAGGAACTTGAGCAGCGCGTCGGACTCTTCGCGTTTGAGGCCGACGATGTTGCGGGTGACTAGGTGCTTTTGTTAGCATCTCCACCAACAGTACAGTACCTAAAGCAGGGGAGGGGGAGAAAACATACACTGAGGATTCACATAAATCGCCTTCTCGCCCGTAGCCGGATGCGTGCGAATAATCGGATGCTCATTAATTACCGGCTCGCGCCTCTTAATCCCGCCCCGGCCCAAACTATTATTCGCCTGCTCCACAGCCGAGTGATTCGCCTTGAGGCCGTGCAGGCGCTCCTGGAACAGCGGGCTCAGCCGGCGGTAGGCCTCGGCCGCGTCGACAAACAGCGTGTCACCGCCCGTCTCGGGCCGGTCCAGCACGTACAGGAAGGTGGTGCCGGGGGGTTGCTGCTCGTAGGATACGTCGGAGTGCCACGCTACGGAGGAGGTGCGGTTTTCGTAGAAGTTTTCGGCGCTCTTGTCGCCGGCGCCCCGGTGGACGAGGTGGATTTCGGGGAAGCCGGCGGGTGCGCCCGAGGTGGGGTGGATGTGGTGGCTGTTTATGTCAACGGGGTGCTCCGATCATTCTTCATATTGAGGTGGTGATGAGTCGAGAGAGTGAGAGAGAGAGAAAGAGAGAGAGAGAACCCACCGCCCAAAATACCCCCCAAACTCCAACGCCTTCTCAATCGGCAAGTCCGCAAAGTCCTGGTCCCGAAACGCCACCACCTTGCGCTCTGCGACAAACCGCGCCAGCTCGTCCTTGCCCGCGTCGTTGAGGCTGGACAGCTGGATGCCGCGCACCTCGGTGCCGATCGTCGGCGTCAGCTGCTTAACCGTGACCTGGTCCTTGGGCAGCAGGTTCGGGAACGTGGTGTCGGCGTCTTTGCCGTGCTCGTAGTGCTCGAAGGGTTCGAGGGGGGCGTATTTTTCGTTGCGGTCCCAGGTTGGGAGGTAGTTGGGGTACTGGTCTGCCGTCAACAACGTGGGACGATAGAAGGGTGAGATGATGAAAGAGATGAGATAACCCACCTTAGCCGCCTTATGCCCTTTCAGCCCAGCTTCCGCCTCGGCATCAAACCGCGCCACGGCCAGCTCCTTGTACGGGCCCGAGTACGCCGCCTGCAGCTTCAGCTTGGACACATCCGGCACCGTGACCGTCTCGGTTTCCACAGCAGAGGGGGCCATGTTGTGTGTGTGTGTTGCGTGTGCTTAGTATTATCAGACTTTGGGTTGATACTGAATCCCGTCAAGTTGGGAAACACTCACTCACAAACAGACGCAACTCGGAAGACAACCCCTCTCTTTATATACCACTCCAACCCCTCGGCGATACGATATCAAATCCCACCACACCCACACACATCCGCACCTGCACCTGCGCCTGCACACCCACCACGGCTTTCTGCAACATCCATCCCACACAAACCTGCGGGGTCGGACCTCAACCGCAAACCAGCAAAAGGCACGAAAAACATGGATCGAATTGCGTGAGCCTGCCCCTCCTCCCAATCACGAGCTCCTCAAAGATGGGACGCCGAAACCGTCGGTCGTCCCACGCACCGAGATGCGAGGAGTCCCCGGATGGGTAATGCGGGATCGCGTGCTTTTGTCTATCGTCTACGAGAGATGGGGGATGAACACCGGCAGGCAATGATTGCTAGATAGGCTGGGTATGGCTGCGGGTATAGACCGGGCCATTGGCTCGGTTTCGTGTTTCCAAATTGCCCAGACCCAGACCTGACAACTCGGCCTTCGGCACGGTTTGTTCAGGGAGGAGTGCCCTTTTTGGGTGGTGGTTTCAGTGGTTTGTAAGAGGTGCAGTGGTTCGAGGTGGTGGTGATGCTAGACGCGGAGCAGATCGCGTCATCGCGCAGCCGTTTTGGACGTTTCTCGGATTGGGTCTCCACACTTTTTTCGTCCTCGATGACGCACTCACTCTCCATATCATCCATACATAATCTCATAGTATGTCCATGAACCATCCATCCCCACGCGGGTCGGGTCAGACAGGAAATAGTGTAAATGTTCGTGGGGTATTCCAAAGCACGCCATCTCTTTCCCCGGGAGGTGGGAGGGCCGTGAACCCGCTAGTTGGGACTTACATGTGGTACCGAGGGGAGTATGGATGGGGGTTCAACTGTTCGATGAGGATGGATTTCTTTAAATCCGGGTTTGAGACATACAAATACACGGAGATAAATATTCGCTTTGCATGGGTTTGGTCTTTCTTCTCTGGTCAACCTTTGGGGGTTCATGCCGGATGTTTTGTGATATCTCGGCAAAATTGAGCCGGCCACCTCCGATATCGTTGATGCGGGTGGTTATGGGTTCGTCATTGAGTTTACAAATCGGAACTCCAGAGTTCTCTCATTTCCATTCGGGACAAACACAGGACGTGGCGTGGATGATTTAGTTAAGACAGACTGACTGGGCGTGCAGGTGCCGTTAACCGGTGTTGATATCTGCACCATAGTCCACACAGCTCGGCTGGCTTTGCTTATTAATTATATGTACATACATATGCACGCAGTACACACACACACACACGCTAGCAAAGGTGGATTCCAATTCTGTGAGCATCGGCCCAGATGATGCCGATTGTCCGTCTGGATACGATGGACTGTCGTCTTCAACTATTATACTATACCCGGTTTGTCACTTCGGCCGAGATCTCGGCTCTTAGGGATTGTGATGTTTTACTCTGCTTTGCGTTGACTCACGCCGGGATGTCAAACTTGAAAGGAGGGGAGTAGTGGAGGATGGCCGAGCTGTGTGTATCTGTTTGAAGTATCCTGGATCTCTGGGGCAGTTTGGTTTGTATCTGGCATTACGGCTTGCCAGGTTTCCAATTACCATTAGACTTGGCATTGTCAGTCAGAATACAGATACACTGACTCACAGCTCTAGTCAACGCTGTTTCATTTCTCGCTTCTGTTTGCGGCTGCGTCGTCCATGATTGAGTCCTCTCTTCCTTCGTTGGGGCAACTGAATTGGAGTTGATTGACACCTTGATTGTAGTGTGTTTGCGGGGGGAGACTGATTGATTGTTTCTTAGCCCGGTGTGTCATATGATGGTGTATTAGCACGCCAGGGCATACCAGATAGCGGTACACATGAAAAACAATGGCGTGTTGAATCACGGCGTCTCGACCAAAATGACAAGTAGGAAGTGGGAGAGGCATACTCAGATGAGAGTGAGTCAGATCCAGCTACGTAGGCCCCCCGTGAGTCGAACCCACGAAGCGGAGAAAGCGGGCACGCCCGGTGCGGCCTGCGCCCCCCCCAAATGCACCATCCGCGGTCGGGGCAGGCATTTGCCGGATGGGGGGGGGGGTGGGGGGGGCTGTTGGAAACTGGTGGCGGAAGGGGGGGTTATAAAGGGCTGTTGGGATTAGGGAGGGAAGGTATTGGATGTGGATGCCGATTTCGAGATTTGTGAATGTTTTCTACGACGGTAGGTATCTTCGTTTACTACTTCGGTATCAGGTGTATATAGATAGATGGATTCACCATCATTCTATTTTGTCTCCTTCCAGTTTCACCCACTTCATCATCTGCTCTCCTTAATCTTCAATTCTGCCTCTAAGAAGCAAGTTCCACAACCTCAACCAACTCACATGACTGACTTCTCTTCGTCAATATAGTAGCTACAAGTAGGAAGTGTCAATGTGTAATCTTGTAGATGTGGGCTGTTTGGTTTGTGGGTTGACTATCTTCTCTGTCAGCGTTTGACTCAATCATAACCTACTTTAAAAACATTTTGCTGTTTGCCATCTCCCTGTCTCCCGTTTTCCTCCCTTTTGCTTCAATTATTTTACGAAGGATATTTGGGATACTTTGGTCATCGAACCAGAATCCGAACAATCATCTAGTCAACTTCCTCCATTTAATCACGCGATTTACGTAAGACTGTCACTGACATTTCTCTTCCTCCATCACCACATGAGATACACCCCCTCTAAGCAAGAATTGACTCCCGTCTCAAGCAGAAGCAGACCCAACTAACAACAACCGTCCCAGACCGTCAAATCAACAGCGGTTGCAATGTTCCTGTTTGACTTGTTTTGGTCTTCTTTCGAGGAGTCATTGTTGGAAGCGTCATCATTTGAGAAACACCAGGGATCTTCTAGCCGTTGAATTATCAGATCGCAAATCCATTTATTTTCCCCGCAAGCCCCTTACCGGGCGAGACCGCTGATCTAGTCGAACCATAGACAGTTTAAGCGCGGCCGGTTTTGGGAGTTCAAAGTGCCGACATCTGACATGAGCAATTGTGGGTTAGTGAGCTGGTGAGTGAGTTCGTGACTGTACGTCAGGGATTGAGTGGTTTTGGGTGTTCATGTCATGTCAACACTCTTTTTGGAAAGCCTTTTTAACGTGGTTTATTCCTTTCGTTTTCCACCTCAGTCATACGAAAGTTCATCAGCCCGACAACCTCCGGGTATTACATCCCACAATACACTTCTGTCCCGTTTTAATATGGTGCTTCCCAACCCCCAACACCCCTCAACCCAACCACCCAAAACAATCCCCAACTCCCACCATACACGGGCTGATATCCCTCAAAGAAGAATCTTCCCCCATCCCACTTCAGCGACAATTACGATGCCGCGCAGCGCTGACCCTGGCCCCGAGCCGCCTTCTCCTCGCAGCGCAGCAGCAGCCGACCTTCCCGACCACGTGGACAAGGATTCGCTCCCCCGGTCCCCGCAGCCCCGATTGGTCCGAAAGAGGTGCCATGCATCCCAACCCCCCGGTGCCCCGCGAGCGATGTTGCGTGAAGTATCAGTCAGTTGGTGGAAGCGAGGAGGGGAGACCGGGGCCGGACCGGGGCCCGGGGAGTGGGGCAGACGGAACGGGAGAGGGCGACCGGAGAAAAGGAGCTTTTTGGCTTCCCGAGGACAAGACTATGTGCAGGAGCTGAGCGAGACCGAGTGAGAGGTATGTCGTAGCCGTGTGTGATGGAATCCTCAGCGAGCGGCTCACAGCGGGGTTGAACTCGACAGAACATGGTTAATTGTCTCGAATAAAACGCCCAACCCCCCGGCCCGGCCCCCCCATGCCGCATGCCGCGTGGGCTTTCACCTCGGCGTGGGCGGAGCGTTGCATCGCGGGACGGTTGGTTCATCACTTCTCCTCAACACCATGCTCCTCACGTTCTCCTGCAGCGAGGAATCACAGGGGTCTCGAGCTGAGCCTGCCGTTCTCTTGCAGATGGACTGGGGCTTTTTTCTTGGGACGCAGCCGGCTGACAGGGCACGGCACGCGGATGGCCACCGGACTTCGTGTTCCTCATGTTGCATCTTGGGAGTCGGCAGTTGGGAGGCGACGGACGGGGAGGGGAAAAGTTGAAGATATGTTAGGGTCTGGATATAAATAGCGCGGAGGGATCCTTTGCCTGGAGTCGAGGTTTTGAGGACGGCTTCCGGTGACCCCCTCATCGTGTTTGCGAGCGCCTGGAAAACACCATCGATATGGCCCGTTTCTTCCGGACGACGGCCGTCGCGACCGTCCTCGCCGCGTTCGCCGACCATGCCATTGCCGCAGCGGTTACCGGACCGTCATCAAATTGCCCAGCACGCTTTCCCTGGGAGGACTCCATCCTGACCGACGCCGACGTTGCAGCAAGCGGTGACCCCGCACGATTCGCCTTTGGCGACGATATCACCGACGACAACCTCAAACATCGTCACCGTGGCGGCGCCGAGCCTGCAGACTGCCGCGCGTTCCCCGGCAACCCTTCCTGGCCCTCAGCCGCTACCTGGTCGCTGCTCAACACCACCCTCTCGGGCACCCTCCTCCAAACCGTCCCGCTCGCCGCTCCCTGCTATGCCGACTGGCCGGCACAATACGATGCAGCTGTCTGCGCCAACCTGACGACCAACTGGGGTGACCCGTACCTGCACATCGCCGACCCAACCTCGGCCATGTTTCCGCTCTTCCAGGGGCTGACATGTCTCCCGACTGACAACCCGACGGGGGGAAACTGTACGCTGGGTGGTTTTGCGTCGTACTCGGTTGCGGCGAAGGAGACGAGGCAGATCCAGCTTGCGGTGAACTTTGCGAGGAATGAGAATTTGAGGTTGGTGGTGAAGAATACGGGGCATGATTTTGCGGATAAGAGTATTGGTGCCGGCGCGCTGTCGGTGTGGACGCATGGGTTGAAGGATATCGAGTTTGTGAGCGATTACAGCTGTCAGGGGTATAGCGGGCCGGCGTTTAAGCTGGGCAGTGGTGTGATCACGGATGAGATCTACGCAGCGGCCGAGGAGCATGAAGTTACGGTCGTCGGGGGCGTGTGTCGGGTAAGTGCTGAATAGCGGACTTCGGATAGAGAACGCCGCTAATATGCTTGATGTAGACTGTTGGCATCGCCGGTGGTTATATCGCCGGCGGCGGCCACTCGCCCATGGCTCCTCTCGTCGGCATGGGGGCCGACCAAGTTCTTTCGATGGAGGTTGTGTTGCCCAACGGTCGGTTTGTGTCAGCAAGCGCGGACGAGAACCCTGACCTGTTCTGGGCACTTCGCGGCGGTGGTGGCAGTAAGTTTGACCCTGTCATAACAAAATGAGTCAGTCTAACAAACACAGGCACTTACGGTGTGGTCACATCGGTGACTATCCGGGCGTATCCCAAGATCCCCGTCACGACCATGACTTTCTCGTACGCCACGAGTGAAAACCTCACGGCTGACACGTTCTTTGACGGTCTCGGTGCCTATATGAAGTACTTCGATACCTTCAGCTCCGCCGGGGCCTATGGCTACTTCTTCGTCGCCCAGATCGCCCCGGAGCAATATGTCTTCAGCTTCTTCCCCATGTGGGGTGCCAACTACACCAAGCCCGAGTTCACTAAGCTCGTCACGCCATACCTCAACGACCTCGCTGACCTCGGCATTCCCATTGAACCCATCATCACCGAGTACCCATCACACTACCAGGCCTTCCTCGGCCAGTTCCCCGCGGAGAGCGTCGGCGGGTACGACAACCATGCCGCCTCGCGGCTGTTCCCCAAGGACAACTTCAAGGACCCAGCCAAGCGTGCGGAAACTCTGGCCGCAGTGCGCTACGCCATCGAGGACGGCGGCGTGCTAGTCGGGTACAACATCCGCGCGGCGGTCAACCCAGCAGCCAACCAAGACAACAGCGTCAACCCAGCCTGGCGCGAGGCCACAGGCTTCTTTATTCTGGCCGTAGCGTGGGGCAAGGACGCGACCGACGAGGAGATCGCCCAAGCGAGCGAGAAGCTGACGACCGACTGGATGGGCCGCTGGCGAGCGGTGTCGCCGGGCGCCGGGTCGTACATGTCGGAGGGGGATATCAACGAGCCGGATTTCCAGCAGGCGTTTTATGGGACCCATTACCCACGGCTGCGGGCACTGAAGGAGAAGTATGATCCGACGAGTCTGTTTTATGCGCCCACTGCTGTTGGTTCGGAGGACTGGTACATCACGGACCAGATTGAGTGGTTTCCGAAGCAGACTGGGCGGCTTTGTCGGAAGAAGTCTTCTTAGGAGACTGATTCTCGGTGAGGTGATGTAACGTCTGACCTTTTATATAGTAACATATGACAGGAACACATCTAAAAGCCTTTATAAAGTCAGCGAAATGTCAAGTCCGGGATAGGAAATGGTGAGGTTGAAGCCAAGCCACTCCTGACATCGCCCATGAGGCTGATCACCAACGAACTACACTGCTATGTTTTCTCTTCATCCGCCAGTCATGAACCGGATAAACTTCAGGCTCGTGATGAGGCAAGAAACAAAGCGGGAGAACAGAGCGGGGTGGGTGTTCCACGAAAGCAAACACAGGCAAGCACGGTGTTGCAGTGCTCCTTCCTATTTCCCGCCGAGTTCAGTTTTTCACGCCACGCCCGTTCCTTCCTTTTCTTCCCAAGATGACCCGCGCCACGAGAACAGGAGCCGTGTTCGGAAAATCTGATCTCTTTTAGAGATTTCCTCTTTTAACCCCGCCGAGATGCGCCGAGTTTCCTCAACAACCTCAACCCGGCAACCTTCCACACCCCCGCGATTAACCCCGACCAGCATCCTCGACCGCCAACATGGGTGATTCAGACCCGTTCGTCAGTAACGGTACCTGTTGGTACAGGTACAGGAATCCCTTGAATGACAATTTCATTCCCTGCGGCAATGTCGCGTTCGGCCATGTCCACTGCTGCCAGAAAAGCGACGTTTGTCTTGAGCACGGCGCCTGCTACGATGACGGTACCGGCACGACCTACCTAGCTGGCTGCACCGACCTCATGTACCTGGATGCCAGCTGCCCGAACAAAGACTCGCACTACGGTGAGTTTACGATAACCACCAAACCGAGAATGGTGTGTGATACTGACGAATTTCGAAACACTAGACCAGCCTTGGGCCGGCCTGATCTACTGCGAGTTCGACCATTGGTGAGCGCTCCCCAAATTATTCTGACTCTATGTAAAAGGGCGAATGCTTTTCCATGGGCGATGCTGACTTAACTTAATCTCAGGGTGGCATGCGAGGAAGAAGGCCATCCGGCGACTGTGAGGCGGGGGGACAATTGCACTTGTCCTTCTCCCGGCTCCGGAACAATCGCCTTCACCGAGGGTGTTCCTATCCCATCCATTGCGGTTATGCCTGCCACCTCTGGAGGATCGCTTGAGTGGTTTCCCGGCCATCTCCCCACGGCGACGCTCACAAGCTCAGGCTCGCATTCCCGAACGACCAGCCATGCGTCGTCAAAAGTCCCCTCTACGGCTGGCGCCCTTCCAGAGCCGACTTCCACGAGCAACGACACCACCAACGATGATAGTTGGGATGGTTATAGCACCGGCGCCAAAGCCGGCATCGGCATTGGGTCTGCCATTGGCGTGATCCTCTTGTTTGGTGCCCTCTCGGCATTGTGGATGATCTTTCGTCGTCGCAGGAATGCGAAGAACAACGACCAGGAGATCAACGTCAGCAATGTTTCTCCCGATGAAGACAACATCTTTTCCGGCCCAGATATGACCGTTGTGGCGGCCGCTGCGGCCGGCCAGCCGTACCACCAAGGCGACAAATCGTATGGTGTGGCGGAGATGCCGACGCCGGAGGCATCATCGCGCCCCGAGCACCCGGATGTTACCACCGGGCAGTGGGTTTCGGGTCCTGGATCACATGGCGAGCCGACCACTCCTTTCATGGTGGCAAGCTGGTATGACCCTGCCCAGAGTCAGAATCACGGCCTCGTCCACAGTCAGAGCCAAGGTCAAGGCTTTGTCCACAACCACAACCGGGGTCATGGCCTGCCTATTAGCCCCAGCCAGAGCTTGAGTATTGCTCATGATGGAGCGAATACCGGCCTTAATGATTCACACCGCCCGTCGTTCCAGTCTCACCAGAGCTACAATCCTTCCGTTGGTTCGGGGCACGGGCACGTGCAGGGACAAGCACAAGGACAGCAGGGTCATCAAGGACAGCAGGGTCATCAAGGACAGCAGGGTCATCAAGGACAGCAGGATCATCAGGGACATATGGAACAGCAGGGACAGCAGGGACAGCCGGGACAGCCGGCCGTCAACTCAAGCCAAGCCTTTGCGTCGGAGCTGCCGGGTTAAGGAAGGCGGGAAAAAGGCATCGGGATCTGCATGGCAAGATCTAGGTTGGTGTAGTACAGCGTATTTCGATTCGCTAATCTCGGAGAGAAATGGATCACATCGAGTTCAACTGGTGGCTTGAGTTAATAATGTGCTTTGTGTAAATTGTGGTGAAAATCACGCCAGGTTTTAAGCTATGTGTATCCTTCTTCAGCCAAGTGACAGCTTTCAAAGGAGTAGATTTGTTCCCAATACATACGGCCCATTCTCAATTCTCGGCCCATCAGGAGTGGCCACCATTTGTAGCTGTGAATCCTTTCCGGGTATTCTGTGGCTCCGGGCAGTGTAAGTGGGGGTATATCAAGCCCAAAGCAGGACCATTTTCACAACTCAGGTCCCGAGTCGGGGAAGTGGTGCAGTGGTTAACCGCAGAGCTTGCTTCTCTTGAAGCATAATATGTGGATCGTGCGTAAGTCAGGCCACAACTTCGACTCATATTTTTGGCATTTTGCAGAGTTTTTTTTGCGTTTCTTTGAACCATCTGTTTTGGGAGGCAGGTTGTTGCTATTCAGATGACAATAGTGCTATTGTGCTATTGTGCTATTGTGTGAATGGAGGTAAGCAACCCTAACCCTGACAGCAATAAAGGGACTTTGAGTTTCTGCCCCACCAACCAGGTTTCTCTTTTCCAACTTCACTCATCTCAATCTGATGTCACGGTTGGCTAAAGGTGGTAAGTCATTCTAAGAGAGTTTTTTAGGGGTGGAAACTAACATAAAGAATCAGGTATCCAACAACAATTACCTCACTTTTTGTTCACACGGCTTGGAAGACTCACGCCCTCAAGGTTTAAGGGTTAAGCTGTCCTGGCTTAGTGGGGCAACCTTAGTTCCAAACCATCGACAAACCCTTTCACAACCCTTCATCATTCACTCATAACCCTCGCAATTCACACCCGCCCTTGGCCAACATGCGCCTCCGCCGCGCGAGGGGTGCAAGGAAGCGCTACACGGAAGACCCGATTGTGTCGGGGGACGAAGCGGATGAGGTTGTGTCCAAGGATAGCGGGGCCAAGGATGATGATGATGGTGATTTTGAAGGTCCATTGGATGTGGAAAACGGGGGTGCCGCCGGTGAGGAGGACGATGATGACGGTGATGGAGATGCTAGTGATGAAGACGACGACGACGACGCCACCGCAGAACCAGACCCAGAAACCCAAGCACCCTCCTCCTCAGCAAAAACCCCCGCCCGAAAACCCCCCTCAACCAAACCCAAACGCCCCCTCAGTTCCAGTTCAGCAATCCCCCGCCGCAACCGTCCCCCCACCACCCCCCTCACACAATCCCGCCCCAACCACCACCACCACATCCCCCACTACCCCCTCGAAACCCGCATCGTCACCCGCGTCTACGCCGGCCCCCTACGCCGCTACGCCCGCTACTCCGCCCTCCGCGACGCCATGTATGGGCCCGAGTACCCGCGGATTAAGGTTATTTGGGATTTGGAGATTCGGTGGGGGGGGTTTCCTGTTTTGCCGCCGCGGTGGGGGCCGGAGGGGGATCTA